CAATAAGCATTTAATAGAGCTACAATTATTTTATAATATTTTTTAATTCTCATTATTGTCATTTTAGTTATCTATTTTATAAATTTCCTATAAGAATGCATATAAGTAGTATAATATGTTATACAAAAAGGATTAATCTAAAGAAATAATTTATTATTTTTTTTAATTTACAGTGACTATCTCTTATTTTTATTTAAATTTGAAATTTCAGCACGCACTTTCAAACAATAAACTAGATATGGCTTTGAATTTATCGAATACAAAGGTCTCAATATTAAAAAGTAATTTTTTCAGTCAAAAAAAGCAATCTGAATTGTGTATGTATATACTTTTTTACTTTTACAATAATTAAGAAACATGAATCTGATCAAAAATGTTATTATTCAGTAAGACAGGGTATATACTGCAATAGAATCATCAGCTTGAGATACAAATTATTTTAAAATCAATTATTAATTACTATTTAGATATCATTTACAATCTCAAACTAAAGCACGTTTTTATCCTCAAAAATTACTCCGTAACATATTTAATTATGATCCTTTTGAGCTTAATAGAATGTCTAACGAAGTTTCTTATCCCATATTTAGGTTTCTTATTATTACTAATGAGACTTCTTCACTTCATTATATTATGGTTGAATTTTCTTTATCGTTAACAATCGTTTCTTAGATGGATAGGACTTTATTATGATACGAATAAAATAAAATCTAAATGTTCTACTGATATCTCCATATATATAATTCAAATTATTTTTATATATTGTTTTTATTTAGTATTTCTGTATGTCTAGTCTTTTAAACTCAAATTCATACAACACCATAAATTCTAAACAAAAGAAGAATTGATTTCATGAACGTGGAGTTAATCTATTAATTAAATTTCCTCTATCGATTATTTTAGATGAGATCTTGATAACTAAAGTAATACTATTCAGCTATTGTTTGATCTACTCATAATCTTCAATATCAATTAAGGTTATCCATAATGTAATAAGTTTTTTTTTGTTCTTTAAAGAATTTCTTATATTTATCAAAAATTAAAAAATATAGCATTTTTTATGATATCAAGCATTTAAAAATACTTTATTAAAATTGAACACACGAATGTAATATATTTGATAAAATCAAACTCCATCTTNATGTTACAGAATTTATGTTGATCTATGAAGTTCAAAACTTTTTGTTTATTCAAATGCTTCTGTCTTTCTTTCTAATGCAGCCTAATGTACTATTCTTTTTGTTTCTGCTTTATTAATCAAAACGGACTATTTTTGGTTGTAATCTAAGATACGTTCTTTTTATTCTCGTCTAGTTTTACAACTTCTGATATTGCACCAACTGGTTGATTTTAATCTCCTCCATCCTCTTCTTCAATTTAAAGATTTTGTTTTTTCTCATTGTATTATCTTGAGGCCATCTAATCAAAAAGCTCTTAGTCTCTATTTTCAGACACTTCATTTTGAACAATACCCTCTTATAACTAATCTAATTAATCAGACATAAGTAAATTCAAATTATTTAATTTTATAAATTAGATAACACAAAATTTCCATCTCAATTCATAAAATTTAGATTTATGAACTAGTATAGATACAATATATAATATAGTTAAGTACTAAAGAATTAAATATGTAATATTAATTTTTGAATTCAAGATATTAATATAATATAAAGATCATCAATCGATAATCTTTTATATATATCGGTTTAATTATAAGTTCTAAAATGATGATAAATATTTTATCATATGTTAAAATATCATCTTATTTTTGATATGAACATATATAAACTTCAAATTTTATTCATAACCAAACTTAACAAATAATTTAGATTAATCTTATATTGTTATGAATCAAAAGTCAATCTGTGTTATTTAAACTAATCATCTCAATATCATATATTATTAATAGTAATAAATACAATAATTATATTATAATGTTCATATTGATGTTAATAAGAACTACTATATATATAATCATAAATATTATATATATTTAATTAGCCTAATGGACAAAAATATGAAAATAACAAATTCGTTACAAAATATATTATTTAAATGGTATTATTCTGATTTTATATGAGGAATTTATATTATTATATTTATTATTCAAAATCAAAATATAAAATAGTAAAAATCATTATTAATGATTAACACTTTATTAAAGGATTAGTGTTTTTTTCCCATTTAGTAGTAAATTCAATAGTTCAAATAATCTTATCTATCCATCAAGTCTTTAAGTTTTTATTATTCCTATCAAAATATGTAATTATGGATCTTAAAGTTCTGTCTAATTATTTATATTATTGTACTCTAACTTCTTTATTCAAAAAATATCAAATTAATCTACTCACTAAGTTCTTATATAGTCATAAAGCATGATAACTTGGAAATATCAAATTTGAATTCATATTCTTATCCTAAACATATCACTATAATATCAATTATATATGCTGATTCCTAAATAAAATATATAACGTACTAATTATGAATTGGAACATTTTATTAGACTTTTCCATATTTTTAGTTATAATTCACTCATACAAATATGTTTTATAGGACTAAGCTTATTATGTTGAATTACTCTTTAATATTTTTAATTTAACTGATAGACAAAGAAGAATCATTTGATTCAAATGTTACAAAAGAATTTCTTCTTTATAAATTAGGACTGATAGAATTATCTCCTTTTGAAGATGTAGATGTTCTTCTATATGAAGTAATATCTATTGATCTTCTGAATTGGCTACTTTCATAACTTGTTGTTCTTTCAATATCCCATAGAAACTCTGAATCTTAATTTGTTTGATTGTGATTCATTGAAACTTTTTTTAATTGTAATAACCCATTTGATTTCTTCATTAAATAAAATTTGTAATTTATATAACATTACAAGTAAGATAATTAATATCTGATTATTATCTAAGATTATAACAGATTTCTATTATTTTATAAATTATAACTTCAATATTCTTTATATATATATAATAACTCAACTTTATTTAAGTTCTTAATTAATTGATTATATATTGGTAGTATTTACTTTAATACTTGTTTGTCTAACTGTCTAATAACAACAATCAAAATAAACTGCTTACTTATCCTGAAATAAATAACCTAATTACTAATTTATTTCAACTTATCTTGATGATTTTCAAAATTTCTTTATTATTATTAATTAAGGAAGAAATTGCCAACATAATGTAAAATATAAATAATTACTATAAATTAAATAAGATGATAATATTTGAATGCTTAAGCTGGTTATCCTTTTGTTGAATATTTACATTCTTTATTTAATTACAATAATTATTCATAATTATTCTATTTAAATTAATTTTATTATGAATTTCATTAATATTGTTTTCACTTATGATTGTTAATTATTATTTTGTTTAATAGACTTAATGAGAAATTTTACTAGATAAAAAATCTATTATTTCTTGAATTTTATTCGTTTTTTTAATACAATTATTTAATTACTTTAAAAAAAAATTTAATAGTTCTTCAACTATAATCACATGATTTTTGAATTTTAAAATAAAAGAGTTCTAAGCTAATTTACATTTTTTAATTTATGAATAAATTATTTATATATATAATTCACAAATAGTAAATGCCTGATTCTTTATATAAATTATTTATAATCTATGAGGTTAATTTAAGTAATAGTTATGTATTTATATATAATTACATCCTTATTTCTACAATGTAATATATTAGAAAATGTAAAAGAAATGAAGAATCAATAAATAAAGGTTAAATGTATAATACATATACAAAACTAGACTCATTATTTTTAAAATAATGCAAGTATTTTCAAAAGAATATGGTGTATTGTACATATATACATATTAAAATAAGATTTAAAAAAATTAAAAAAAAATTTATTGACGAATGGTGAAAATGAATGTCTTGAATGATTGCCTCCGTTCTATTGTGAATGCTGAAAGGTTGTAGTTGTTGTCCTAACATATTTAAGATAAGGAAGAAAACAAGTGTTGATTAGACCTACATCAAAATTGGTTGTGAAGTTCTTATAAGTTATGCAAAGACATGGGTACATTGGTGAATTCGAAATTGTTGATGATCATAGAAGTGGCAAGATTGTTGTTGAATTATTGGGTAATAAATGACACAAAATGTTAGGACGCATCAATAAATGTGGTGTGATCTCACCTAGATATGATGTTACATTAGGAGAATTCGAAAGATGGGCTAATAACATTCTCCCAGCCAGATAATTTGGTTGTGTTGTACTCACCACTAATGTTGGAATATTAACCCATGAAGAAGCTAGACAAAGACACATTGGAGGCAAAATCCTTGGTTTCTTCTATTGATATCATTAATAAACATAGTACAATAATATTTATATTTATATATGTCAAGTGCTCTATCTCTAGCAGGTTAAAAATGGAAAGAGTTTTGGGGAATATCCAAAACATAAAACATACAATTAGAAGATAAGAAAAAGTAAATAAATGAAGCAGATTAATATATCAGATTAGCAGGAAGAGCTATCTAAGGAATTGTATTTTAACATTAATGTACAATTATATCAAATTAAATAAAGAAATGCAATTGTTATATGGATTGTTAAGTTAAGTCCTAAAAAAACTTGATGAATTAGAAAAGTCATAAGAAGGTTTGTTATTAGCAAAAACATTTGATTCTTTATCTTCTTTACATTCATCAAAAATTGAGAGTATTCACAAAGCAAATGATAGTTTTTAAGAATGGTTTGATACTATTGAATAACTAAGATAGATGCTTGATAAGTATTAAGAGAATAGGTTAGTTTATGATCACTATAGATTAAAAGTAGATTAACTGAAAAATTCTAAAGATTAATAAACAAAAGTATTATTTAATTATGTGTAATAATTTTCTCATTTTTAATAAAAAAATGATTGAATTTGTATTGTAAATCATATTGTGAAATGCATAAAAATGTATAAATATTTAAATATTTTTTTTTAATGGATATGATTAAAATTAAGAGGAATCTAAATTAATATCTATATTTGCAGTTAACTATAAAGTAGGAATAACTTTGATAAGAATTCATCAAAATTGGGAATATAATCATTAACAGAATTAGGTTAACCAATTTTATTAATATATATTGATAATTATAAGAATATTGATCATTAATTTTTTTAATGATAACTATAATATTATTGGATTTTTTGATTTAATTTTTTATTTTGTTTCATCTTGTTGTTTTAAAAAATGTGTAAACAAATCATAACAATTGTAAAATAACCTATTATTGCATCAAAAAGAAATTTTTCTCATTTTTGCTTTTATTACTAATAAGACTAGACTTATTAATATAATTTTTTATTCAAACTTCATTAACTTATAATTATTGTGCATTTAATTGGTTGTTAAAACATGTTATATTTCTAGTTTAATTTCTAAATTTATTTCTTAACAAATAAATACTCTGATAGATAGCATATTAGAATTGAAAATATAAAATGAATTCATAAATAATAATAAGATTAATCTACTACAATTGTTCTAAATGTATTATTTAAGGAGCTCTTATAAATGAAATTAATTGATATTTATTCTCATCAACAACAGTATTTTTCGAAAGAAGAATATTTTTTTATAATTAGCATAGAAAAAAATGATTTTATAAATAAATAATTTATTATATGAATAATTTGTTCCTCGTTATTCTCTTAAATTTATTTGATTTCTCCTTCACAATGAGTTGTAATACACATATAAAGAAATCAATATTAAGAAATTAGTTATTCACATTAATTGATTGTATTAATCTCTTAAGGTGCTGTTGTGCAATCAATAATATTGATACATTAATTTTGTTTTTAATTGACTGTACATGATTTTTACCATTATGAACAATTCATATGATGAAAATATTGAATGGATAATTAGAACAAGTCTTAATAATACAGATATTATTAATCCAGACAAAAATGTTTTATGATAAATCTTTAGTTGAATTACATATAGTTTCGTTTTATTTCAACAAGTGCTTCCTATTAGATTACATTAACTAAATTATTCACATGATATTGGAAGTGATATTAATATCTTAAACATTATGCATTAATACATGAGGATCCATTCCAATAACAATAAGTATTAGATGTAATAAGTGCATAATCACATAATTATTAAGTTGTATATAAATTACAAAAGGGTAATATAGTTCTACATCCATTTAATGTTGTATTTAACACACACATTTCTTATTAAATTATTAGCAAATCTAATTGCTATAGATACTATTTGAAGTTATATAAGTTGAACATTAATTGTAAACACAAGTAGATATACTCAAATCTCATTTACATAAATTATCATAAATATCTTTAGTACATTAATATAGTTATATTTGTGTTATATAGAAATTCTGTTTGATTTATGCTTTAAATATTCAAAAAATAAAGGATTTTTAATTGAAGAACATTAATAATATTCTTTAAAAGTGCTATTAATCCATTATGAACACTCTTTAAAATAACTTATGAACATAGTTATTCAACAATATTACAGACATCTTATTTTCATAAAGTAGTATCCCAAAACAATAAGTAAAATTTTCAGAATCTGCTTAATTTAATTGGAATTAACATTCATTTTTATTTTAACATATATTATTATTCCATGTACATTAGTTTAGTTTATTACAATATACCATCTGTGCTTATTCATTGCATTATTTTAATTCTCATCCATTAATAGTTTTGGATAACATACAATAAGCCATATCTTATACATTAATATTCATTATATTTATTAGTAAAAGAATTAGTAAAATCAAAATAATATACAAAAGATGAATTAATCCATAAACATTTAATGTTAGAACTATTATAAGCTAATTAGCAATAAATCTCATTACTTATTTAATTACAATTATTTCTATAAAATTGGAAACTCCTTAAGTACATTTATTATTATATAATAAGCAATTAGTACCACTTATAAGTGAACATTAGATTGTCTAACAAGAAGTTCCATTCCAAAACAAAAAGATTCACCATCTATGAAATTATCATAAGTGTTTATAATATCGATATTTATGAATAATAAAAGATATTTTATAACATTTATATCATAAACAAAATATAAATTATAAAAATTCAAATATTTACATTAATAATTGTTTGATTTAACTGATATTCTTAAAGTAGAAAATTATTAATGTAAATAAAATAGAATAATATTTTGAAATGACTAAACTTTCTTTAAAAAGATAATAATAATTTTAGAAATAATTGTCATAGACTGAGTATAATTTACAATCATTGAAAATTAATGTTTATCAGATTTAACTTGTGCTCTAGAGTATTAATTAAATTATATAATTAATAGTTCGATTTCTAATGGTATATTGAGATGAATTTACAATCTTATATAATCCTTTTACTATTTAAATAAAGATTCCTTTCAATCTTATGGATTTGAATAAAATTGTGAACAAATCTTCTCCATAACATTTTTGTTGTTGTTATTTATTGATTGCATATACTTAAATGATTATTAATTATAATAGCTTAATAGATAAGACTAATGCTTTATTTAGGAATTAATTCAACAATTTTTATTTATTATTGGAACTTATATTTACAAAGGAACACTTTCTTTACTCTATTAAATCTAATAAGGTTGTGATATTTTAATCTTATTATATGTAATCTATTTTGTTTAATCTCTCCTATATTGAATCTTTCTTAATCCATTATATAAATTTTTTGAAAGAGTTTATTATTATTTTTGGATCTAATCATTGAAATTTTTAAATTATAAAGATAAAAATATTTTTTACTCTTTTAATATGTTTGAAATTATATATTATTTAATTATCATGAAATTAATATTGAACTTTTAATCAGTTTAAAATATACTAATAATCAATGAAAAACAACTTGATTTAATTTAAATTACTTAATAGATAATTCTTTATATATATCAAATAATATTAATTAATAATTATTAAATCGATAAAAAATTGTAGTTGTAGGATAAGAGTATAATGTAAAATTAATTTGCATAACGAAAATCAAAGAATAATGATATTAAGGTTTAAATAACAATATCTATTTTGTTTAATAAATATAACG